CATTTAGGCCGCGGCCTATACAATAGATGTCCTTGTTTATCCTGTAGGTTAAACAAAGACACCTATCGTATAGGACCTATCGTCGCGGACTAAGCGCACGGTGTAAACGTAGCCTTTGTATAACCTACAGGATAAACAAGGACATCTATTGTATAGGTCGCAGCCTAAATGCACGGTGTAAACGTAGCTATTGTGACTATGTATTGTGTATAGTTAACGCGCTAACATCGTTGTAAGCGCGTTCTGAATACGGGCCACAATGTTTAGATGTCTTTATTGTCTCTTTTAGATATTTTTTAGATGTGTGGTTTAAATCCAAAAAATACACACGTCTTTATGTCTGATGTTTTTTTAAACATATCTACATTATTGTCTGAGTGGGTTGTTATCCATGCCATTCAAAATTTTATGTTCGATTTATTTTTTAAATAAATTTTTAAGTTGTATTTATTTTTTCTATCTATTTTTACAAGTGTTTCAGAAAGTGTAGGAAGTGCGGATGGTGCAAGAAAAGCCGGTGAAAGATTGAAATTTGACCAATCAAAACAATAGAAGCTAAAATTCCTTTGCCCTCATATCATTGGTCAAATTTCAATCTTCAATCTTCGATCTCAATCTTCAATGCGTAGTCTGATTCCGGCCTAAGGCCTGTTCTTTTTGTCTCAACTTTTCTAATTCTAGAATTGGAAAGAGACAATGAATAAGTTGAATCCCGGTTAAGAATTAACTGTAAGTTGTGGAACTGGGCCTCAATCGTAGAAAATTGACCAATAGTCGATTATTCTTCTCATATTCGGCTGTGGTTGGTTAATTTTCGACGACTTAAGACTCTACGACCACTACGACTTCTATTGTAGACCCCGCATAAAAGGACTATGTCCAGTTTTATAGAGGAATTTGGGCTCCGGATGAACAACTTTGAGACATGCCTAAAATTTTAAGGTATTAAGCCCAGTGTCCACGATGCTAGAAATCCGTCCGAGATCTCGGATGAAGAAAGAATTGATCAATCGCATTGATCATGTGACTAAATTATTTAAATGTGATTGGTTAATTCTTTCTCTCTCCGAGATCTCGGACCAATTTCTAGTATCGTGGACACAAGACTTTAAAAGATAATCAAAAATTCCATAAGCCTAACTTTATAGGAGAGGTTTCCTGAGTGCTCCTAGAATACATATATTGGCCACATTTCAATTAGGCAATTAAAAAACCTTTTGTTTTATATTTTGAGTGTCTCTCCCCCCTCTTCATCGATTATATATATAGATATATATATATCACTTATAACTATTCATTTGGGGTCCAAAAAAGTTTTTAGTTATCTTCGTCAAGATTGGATATATTCCAGATACTAGATGATTCGAGAAATCGAATAAAACCAGTCCTACATTAACGCGTTAACATACTATACTTTACGTCATGCATATTATAGAATTTCAGAGACAAACGCGCGTTCTGAGTGGCTGCGTTCAGCAGAGAAAGCAGCTTTGCAACTGTTGTAAAATTCTTCAATACGATTGGTTCTTGCTTTTGGTTCCTTACAGATCTAAACGTATAAACTAATCATATTGAAGAATTTTACAACAGTTGCAAAGCTGCTTTCTCTGCTGAACGCAGCCAATACGAACCTGTGTGTTCTAGACATTGTTCTTTGGAAAAGAACAAAAATATACTAAATGAGAATATAATTGTAGTGATAAAGAAGAGACAGGCGCGGGGCAAGAGTAAATAAATATAAGTATAGATATAAACAAGTTTAATAGAGGGCTAAGGCGGTATATGGATGGATGCATGAGATTAAGGATTTCATTGTAAACCAAATCCCTTTCTTGGCTTATGTATGCTGAAGTGAAATAAATTCTATTCTATAATCGCGCGTAGTGTGTGTGTGATATTATAAATTATTTTATCATTATATATATTTTATGGTAATCAAAAAATTACGGATTCTCTCTCTCATTCTCTCTCTCTCTCTCTCTCTCTCTCTCTCTCTCTCTATCTATCGTGGATTATAAGATAAGACATACAGAAATAATTTACTGGGCAAACATGTTAATAAATAAGTCACATTAATTGTATAGATAATGATAACGCAAATATTTGTTGTTTTTTTACAGTTACTTTATCAAATTATAATTTAATTCAGTAATCTTCAAACGTTATTTTTGGTTCATTTTGTAACTTCTTTTATATACAACATTGCACTTACGTGCTATAAAAATACTCTCGTGTCCATATAAAATCTGTTAACAGTAAATAAGATATTATAAATCCTCGGAATAATGTAATTTTTTAGATGTATCTTCAGAAGTTTCTTTATCCAGTATAGAATTACGGAATTTCTGAAGAAAATCTTTGTATGCCAAAATAGCGACGTTTCTTCCAGCTATTGCACTCATTTCCATCGTACTTCCGGCCCACTCAAATGCATTAACATAATATAGCGCATCATGCAGTTTGAAATTATTAAAGTTCATCTTTGTCGAGTAACGGGGATATGCTTTCCAAGCAATTTCCTTTTTCTCGATGACCTTAAAAAAGAAAATAAAATATATATATATCAGTTTTGCTTTTGCTTATACAAAACAATTACAGCAAATTTCATACCTTAGAAAACATATCGTGTACAAGACTTGTCTCTAGAGGTTTTCTGCTAAAGACCTTCCAAACTTGTGGATCTTTCCTAATTGAACCATCAACAGAATCCACTTTCCCGACCGAACTAATCGTTGTTTTGTTGGGATTGCAACTTAGAATCCCATCCAAAGGTTCTTGCAAGCCAAAGTACTTTGGCTTAAGATTCGCTTTGATGAACGTCGCATACGTTGTCTGATATTTTCCTGGAAACACCAAGTTATCCGGAAACTCGATAAATTCTATTTGAAATTCTTGATCGCTAGTAAGTGGCGCGGCGATAATTACGATATCGTAGTTAGACGTCATTGGATCAGTGCTACCTGAAATGTATAACTGCATGGTATTTTTCACTACATACTTTAAATGTTTGTCTCTCTCTCTCAAAGATTTTACTTTATCGCACCTTTATTTATGTAAGTCACTTCGTATTGACTTAAATCATGACCGTTTGATAAATTGCGAATCTTTGTAACACGGCTTGGTACTACATTTACTTTCTTATTTCTGTAAATGAGATGCTCCGGTACCTAAGATTTCAACATGTATTTTTTACAACACATTTTTTACGAGTAATTAGGACAGACAATAAGTTAATAATATATTACCCCTTTATTTCCATCTTTAATAGACCATAATTCACCGTCTGTCCCAGCCACAGCTATGGAACCAACGAAACTTTGGATATCGACTTCCTGACCGTAATTCACTACGATAGCGACTTCCACTAATTCATTGATCATTTTCTCTGTGCAACCCTTATGCAAAAGATATTCTTTCATAGACATCTCCAATAATTTCGGAAAATCCTTATTCATAGCTGATAGTAGCGCAGTGACATTGGCAAAGGATTGCCCTGCATCCTGTAGATCATATATCTTCACGAAATCTTCTATCATGTTGCTTACAAGACTGCTCAAAGAAAATATATAATATAACGTTACTTTTTCTCTTTTCTTATACTTTATATTACAATTTTTATAAATACCTCTTGAGATTATACAATTGAAAGCCGTATCTATAGAATAATTTCATCAGCGATATTATGGACCAATCACTTGCTATGAATATAAACTCATCTCCGTTCCATATGCCAAATGTTTCATCACTGGAAGGATTCTTTTCCAAACCTAAAAGCCCGTAAAAGCTAATCAACATTGCTTGTTCATTTCTACCAACATAGATTAACTTTAATCTCAGTTTAACTTACTTTTTATCTTTAAGACCTATTTCTATTACTGTAGATTAATTTTAATCTCAGTTTCATTTATTTTTTATCTTTTTTTATTTCTTAGGAGACTGAAAGAAGATAAAAAGTAAATTATACCGAGATTAAAATTACTCTACATTGACAGAAATAAATATAGTGCCAAGAATTAAAAAAAGATAAAGAATAAATTAAATTAAGATTAAAGTTAATCTACATTAATAGAAATATAGACATATACAACTAGTATGTTTGAGCTAAGGAAACAGTTGCTACCTATACTTACCCAAGAGTTTAACAAATCTCTGCATATACATATTTTTAGAATGTATAATTGAACCACCAGCTTCGACTTCATCTTTATCAATCTTGACGGTCGCCAGTCGTCCACCGATAGTCTTCGCCTCGTACAAGTCGACTTCTACAGATTCCTTCAACAATTCAGTGAGAAAATGCGAGGCAGACGCACCACCGATACCACCCCCTATAACGGCTAAAAGAGAAAAAGTTGAAAACAAAAACGAATTAAAATCTTTTGTAAATTATTAAGCGACGTATTGAAATGAAAAATCGATGTCTTACCGACACGTGGTGCATGTACTTCAAGGGATATTCCCTGTTGGAGTATCGTTACTCCAAGTATCAATAACGTTACATGCAGCCCCATGATTTGTTCGCGTCACTTGAGTAGACCTTAACTTAATTAGGTACAACGAATTTATCCATCTTTTCTGTTATACTTATTTACGCAAACAACTTGCAGCTATTAATAATGTTTATCAATGTTTAACATTCGGTGAATAACAAGGATAAAAGATGCATCATGCGCATCATGCGTGAAATGAAATGCAGCCTCCATCTACATTTCGCTTCAACTCACTGATAACGTGCTATCCGAATACAGCCGTATATATACATGGATCAGGGGTGGCCAACCTTTTTGTCTGGGTTGTCAAATAAAAAGGTTGGCTATCCCTGATTATCATACAAAGTGATTCACTTTAATCTTAACAGATAAATATTTCGAAAATATGTAATTTAATAAAAAAAAAAACGTTCCAAATAAAAGTTGTATAGAGAGGGATGTACAATGGTGGATGTTTCCCTCTATACTACACAACTTTTATTTGAAATATTTTTTTATAAAATTGCATATTTTCGAAATATTTGTCTGTTAAGATTAAAACAAATCATCCTGTATATTCTCTTTACATATAACTATGTATTTTTTTCTTCTCTTGCATTGAAAGCAAAATAATTTGTTCTATATTTAACAAAAGTTATTTCTTTTATTGTGTTCTGTTTTTTACATTTTAAAATAAATCATTATAGATAAAAATAGAAAATAAAAATATTAGTCAGAAATGATTCAATGAGCATCTGGTTAATATTTTTATTTTCTATTTTTATCTATAATGATTTATTTTGTAAATTATTGCCATGAGCAATATTTTGCTATGAGCGTTGCAAGTGCCAAACAAATGGAATGTACCTCTAGTGGCACTGGTTGACCTAGTGACCATTCTTGACTTTAGATTCCCACCAGTGCTATCCAGGCATTACTCCATCCTTGTTGTTTACCGAGTGTTAAATAAGAATGACATGACACCCGGGGAGCATTCAGGTTGGAATTTGAACAAGTCGCTCGATGACAATTGATACAGGCTGTATTTCAAATTTATTACCAGCGCTGAAAATCTATAGTTAGTGTTACGTGTATTACTATAAATTCTTAACATCGACAACGAATTTTGGAACACAGCCTATATCAAATGAAATCATGAATATTATGGTGAAAGAAACCCATGATTATATAAATGATCACGTGACGCAGGGAGCTACCTGCGGTACTGTCTGGGTTGCATATAGCGAGTAATTTCAGTATGGCTGTGCATGGTTCTGATAAACAGCTGGGAGTAGTCCCAGGGTGTCTACAGATCGTGGCTACGTCGCGAATTCGCAACGCATTCGTCCACTCTCTTCTCACGATGACGGAACGATCGGCAGGATAAATTCGACGAAGATACTCCGATCCTTCGACGAAAACCTCCGGTAGCACGATGCCACGAAAAATCTGTCCTTGCGAAAAGCCATGATAACGCGCCCTGGAGAGATGTGTCACGATTGCACGACGTAGCCCCGTAAAACGCTGAGGCTAGGAAGCACGACTCGCAAAAGACGACTCCCCGGTCCGTAAAGCCAACCGCGTGCTTCAGCGGCCGGAGGGATAAATGCTCAGCAAGAGAATAGAGATTGCGAGCCGAGCGTTGAGCCTTACGGTAATTCATCATCCCCTTGTGCACGAACGTTCTTACTCTTTATTACTTTTATTACGTACAATTTTTATTCATGTTACACTTATTACAATGCATCTCCTCCAAGCACAAATACACAACTTTGTACAATTTACAAAATTACAAGAACTATAAGTTACAAATAGTAAGTAGAAGGATAAAGGTACACCGGACGTTCGTATGCCGTACGAGTTTCACTCCGTCCATCTATGGGAGCAGTGCTGATTCGTACATACATAATACAATCTCATTTCCTCCTCAGCCCGTCTAGTTTGCGCCTGGAAAAACACTGCTTCTCTATGATTGCACTTTGGGCATGGATGTTCCTCTGTTCTCGGCAGTGTAGGGTCCGATATCACATCGGCGACGATGTGAGTTAGTTCGCTGAAAAAAAAAAGACAATAAGCAGTGAACGCAAGATTCAAACGTGATTCGAGCATACACAGCACAGGTCCTGAATTAATTTCACAAACTCTCTTGCTTTGCAACGAGCTTATGACTCGCTACACAAAGGAGTATCATTTTGTATAACAGAGATACAAGTGCACAAAATGATACGTTCCTCTTCCCCTCACATGTTATATTCTAAGATTTATTATTTTTCAAGGAAGTCTGAACTGTTTCTGAACTAGTGCGATAAGTTGGAGTAAAACAAATATAGTTTCACTCCAACTTACTGCGTTAGTGTACACCAAGTTCAGAACTTTCTTCGAAAAAGAACAAAGCTCTAGTAAAAACACCAAATAGCAGTAACGTTACATCAACGTTATAATTTTTTACTCAACAATGCAACTGTTACTTATTGTTAATAAGAGTTATACTTACAATGTTGAGTGCGAAATAATAATATTAATGTAATGTTCTTGTTAATTTTTGTGTTTACGAAAATCTTAATGGAAATCGTTCTAACATTTAACGATGTTTACATAGATGTTAATTAACTTCGAGCCACTTATTTTCAACTCACTCTATTTCGTGCATGATCTTGTTCACATAGATGCAATTGCTATCCGCCAGTTGCTTAAAATCACAATTTCTGCACTGAAACAGGCAATATCTTGACGTTACAATTCTTTCTCACACGATTCGCACCGTCGTGCAATTCAAAGCACCTCGTTCCTTTTTTTTCCCTCTTATCTTATGATATTAAAGAGATTCTGTCATCAGGATCGGTCATGTATACTTACCGCATACATGAGTACTTTGTTCTCCTTATCCTCCTTCGGATACAACATGTTATTGCATTCCTGACAAAATCTGATGCCCACGAATCCTGGACCGTCATCGTGCGTGTCGTAACCTGTTATCTTTGACATAACTACGCGTCAAGTTGATCTATTTTAATTGGAGTATCCGTTTAATTGGAATACCCCTGGGATATTCGTCGAGATCGCCGGTAATTCGAACGCAGTCAATTGACGCGAAAACGGCAATAAGAATAAGAACAATAACAACAACAATGAAGAATGAATGCCGAATAGCGTGAGGTGGCGTGATCGACTAGCGCGCCATCTGTCGGCACGCTGGAGAAATCAAAAGCCATTTACATGGCGTGGAAACCTGTTTTACCCACAGATATGCGCCGCCGCGCCGTGATGGAATTATAATGACTTCAAAACCGAAATTTCGAACTCCGCCAGATTGGAATTTGTCAGCAGCTCGAAGGAAAAAATTTTTGAAATGTTATACAGGAGATTCGTGGAATTGAATTGATCTATTTTGATTTTTTTTAGTTTTATCGATTTATTAAAAAAAAGTTCTTTTTTATTTAATAATCCACGATCAATATATTATTAAATTGATACAATTTAACATATTTTATATTTTTCCTTGATTAGATAAAGTTTGTCACTATAAATTTTAATTGAATAAAACAAACTTATTCAATAGTGGCTGTTAGTATATATTTATCTGATGTGTGTGCTTGACCAATCAGATTCGAATATGCATAATAATTTAACAAACGCATTCTTCCTTTAACAATGGATGTAAAAAAGCAACTGTAATAGATTCTTTAATATAATTGATTTTTGTCCTTAGTTTCTTAGTTGAATTTAAATGTATAACTATAATCGTGTTAAAGAATCTTACAACAATTGCAAAACTTTCTCTGCTGAAAGACGTAACCATCGCACACTGTAGGTCTAGCAAAAAATACATTTTAAAGCGTTTTCAGCTCAAGGTTAATTATAATATGACGTCTATGACGTCATATGCTTTACTAATACAACGTTAATTATCATTAATCGAACACAGGTCGGAGCTAGCAAACCTGCTCGGATCGAAAATTCTATTAGAGATAAGTAGAAGCCGAACCAGATAAGAAAAGGTTTATTTTTATTTAAACTTTTTGCACTTTTCATTCTTCCTTATTTTCTCCCAATTATGTTTACAGCCTATTCAAGTTCTTATCAGATTACTATAGAAAAAATGAATTTTTTAACTTTAAATAATAAATAAACAATTATATCCTTTAAAAAATCTCAAAAATTCTCAAAAATACTTCAATATGTACAGAATATGATGCCGCAAAAGAAATTTTGGGATAGCGATGGGATCCACTATAGTAAATGATATTTTGGGTGCAAGGCATATAATATTACTTTTTTTATCTTCAACATTATATAATATTTTCATGATTATTTTAAAGATTCCAAACAGTTTATTTTTAGGTGGACTCCTTTCACGTGGAATGCCTCATATAAGATTTGTTCGCGTCGCATGCTCCAACGAAAGTACGGGAAAAATTCTAAAAAATTTATATGTATAAAAATTTTATGTATTTTGTAATTTTAACTACAAATGACAACAAAAGGAGAATGCCTTTAAACTACCTCCAATATCTTGGATGCAAGGCATATAATATCACAGCTCTTATTCCAACGCGCTAGAGTGAGTAGGAGCTATGGTTAGGTCCCATCGTGATCCCAAAATTTCTTTTGCGGCATCATGTTCTATACATATTGGAGTATTTTTGAGAATTTTTGAGATTTTTTAAAGGATATAATTGTTTATTTATTATTTAAAGTTAAAAAATTCATTTTTTCTCATTAAAATTAACTTTTTTATCCGAAAGTACGGGAAAAATTCTAAAAAATTTATATGTATAAAAATTTTATGTATTTTGTAATTTTAACTACAAATGACAACAAAAGGAGAATGCCTTTAAACTACCTCCAATATCTTGGATGCAAGGCATATAATATCTATTTCTTTATCTTCAACATTATACAATATGTCCACTTACATGTTTTTATGATTATTTTTAAAATTCCAATCAGTTTATTTTTAGATGGATTCCTTTCACATGGAATGCCCCATATATCCAAAGATTGTGATTGTATGGAATTTGACTATTCATCAGGATAAAGAA